CAATGTGGGGATCACTAAGCTTTGACATTTATTTATTTATTTATTTTTGGTTCCTCGAATGCCTTCAGGGCACTTTTGGCCAGCGGGAGAGGTGTGAGGTTCGAACTCCAGCAACCTGAGGCTGACAGCTTTGTGGAAGGAGCCACTTAAAGGCCTGAGATAGGGCCAGGCCCCCGACATTTATTTTTGATAAATAAAATTTTTTATTTTTAATTTATTATGACAAATTCTACTTAAGGCCGATTTTTTTTAGCATTTTAGTAATTATCAGGTTATAAAATTTGGCCATTTTAATGGAAAAATAATATAAAGGCTTTTGACTTTACCAAATTATCCACCAAAGTGCACCTCTGAGTACATTTATGGATAAACACTTCTTTTGCATGCATAGACCTCAGACACTGATATGCATTTTTTGGGGAGAACCACAGTTCAAGGTTCCTTACTCCCTCCTCCCCAAGAAGAAACACAGTGGAAACTACAATTTCTCCTCGCCACGTGAGTTGCAGAAACTCTAATCCCCTCCTCTATCCTGGAGCTTCCCAGATCCTATAGTCCCCAACACCGGGCCTTGCACTTTGGTCATTTCAGAGGCTTCCCACACCCTGGGGAAAGAACGCTGCACAGAGGCCAAAGAGACTCGGCAAGATGGGCCCCACTAGGCCCCCAATGGCTCTGCTAATTAAGAACCCATAAGCCCACAGGTACGATTCAGAAAGGTCCTCAGAGGCCAACTTGCTGAGACTCCAGCAGGCAGTGAGGTCCAGGGCCAGCCTCCTGTCCTTTCCCCACGCCTATCTCCAACCTTTGCAAACCATCACAGCAGCGAATGTGCTTCCCTGCAAGCAGCTAGGACGCCTCAGTCACACCTGAGAAGGGGTCCCATGCGCCCTCAGACGGGGTCCACAGGATAGCTGACCCACCAGGGGCAGGAACTGGCAGCCTAGGATGGGCAGTCTTCCATACCCATGGGCCCTACACTGTCTCCTGACAGAATTTGCTGGATTCTGAGGCGGATCCCAGAGCTGGTGTCCTAACTACAAACTGCTGGCAGGAAAGTGCTCTGCTCCTGCTCTTGCGGGGAACAGAGACCACCTGTGTTACAGTGAGGCTTTCCCTTCTGGGTCCTTAGGCCCTAGTAGGCTTGTGCATAAGGAACCAAGTGGAGTTTCCAAATCCCACAAAGGGACTGGACTCTAAATTTTTTTTTTTTTTTTTTTTTTTTTTGGAGGAA